AACTTAACATATTTTCAGTATTTCAGTATTATTTTCAGTATTATTATTTCAGTATATTACAGTATCTACCCAAGAGGAACTGATAGCAAATGGAGGAAAAGTACCCAAAGGCAGACACAAGAAGAAGTTCTATATTAAGCTTTAGCTCTTATCAGTCATACATATTAAGCCAATCAGGAAGCAAATGTAGGTATTTGCTCACTTGTTTCCAAAACTTTCTATTAGGTCAGACTGAGACATAATCCTAAGGTGTTTAAATTAAAACTGAAAGCTAAATTCCAAAGAGTTGTGTTCAAACAATACTAGACAAACGTGCAGCCCAGCAGGCATACTGTGCAAACTGGGAGTCGCGTTGGTTTAATGTTCTGATGAATACAACCCTGACTAATAGCATATTTCTTTTTTCGAATATCACTCTGTTTTAACATCATCCATGTTGCTGTTCCAAGGAGGAAAAGAAAATGAAAACAGACATGCACACCCACTCAGTAGTTAGGTCAAGTAACACAATCCCAGCAAGAAACAGCAATAATAGCTATAATGATCAAGTCAAATCGTGTTCCAGCTGCTTAATAACTCAAGTAAAAATAATAATTAAGCCTTTTTTTATTAAAACTACTTCATGGAGGAGACAACTGGGCCAACAACAGTGACCTGGTGAATTAGATTTTCTCAGTTCTGGTAATTTTACTTTGTGTTTTATAGCTAAAACCTCTCTAATGAGTTCCAAACTGTTCAATAAGGAGTAAAAGCCTTGAATTTCTACATATCAGGAGCAGTTTTTGGGGTTCAGTATTTGCCAAATGATAGGCAAAAAAGAACACTTTATCTGCCTCCTGAGTCACATTTGTGTTTAAATCCCAAAAATCTAGGGGTTTATAATTGTGTGGTTTTCTGCAAGTTAGAGAGCTAAATTAATCTTGCAATCTTTTTTTTTTTGCAGAATTAACCGATTGATTAGGCCTCATGCTGCCATCCTGCCAAATATCACTGACTGGCACATACATTAAGGCTACTTGATGCAGTGGATATAACACAAGCAATTAGTCTGGGCCTATTTGTGCACCCCACACACCCATCCAAGACTCACAGTGGATGGAGCTGCATTTTCAAATCAATGGGAGAGTGAAGTACAGGCATAAAGGAAATGAACAATGCCTTCCTCCATGCCTGAGGAGGAAAAGAAATGGTTGTGGTGCATAATGGTAACCCCCACCTCAATACAACACAATTGTGGCACTCTGGCATTGAAACTAAGGAACATTACCCAGGCACCTCCTAATTAATAGTCTGCAATGATGTGGTTGCTGCTGTGATGCCATTTGTCTGCAGGAGAGCCAACGAGCAGGGGTTAAAGAAGAAAGATCTGTTGAGTCCTTTCAGTCCAGTTTTAGTTAAACGAATTAAAGTTTAATGAAATATATTAAATAATTGAACGTGGTAACACGGCTGAAGATTGTCTGAGCAAAGCTTGTAAAAGGGCGTCATGTTTATTCAACTTCCCCTATCGCCATAGACTGTTTGAATTAGCCAAGCGAACAACTCTGGATCTAATTTTTTTTTTTTCACGGACAAAACAAATTTAGCCAATGTAAGCCAGCTCAGCAAAGAATAGGACGAAAACGGAGAGCTGCAGTGACGCCACAAGCCCCATTCTTACACAGTCGCTTCTACTTTTCGGTGCCTATACTGATTCATTATGATTGGTAACGAGATCTGTTCTGGTAAATCAGCGACGACATTCCCTTTTCCTGACGTTAGCTAAGGTAAGCTAACATTTAGCCTCCAACCCCCATTCAAGTAGCTAGCTATCCATTCCACTCCACCCAAACCCCCCTCCCCCATGACACCCACCCTGAAAGGGAGAAAAAGCCGTCAAATTTGGTCTAAATCCATACCTGGAGTGAGCCTGTGTTCGCCGCCAGTAGCCGGAGGAGACATCGAATGCGCCGGGCTGTCGACCGCGGGACGGAGGCTGCATCTTTGAGGGGACGGAGTGCTAGAAGTCCCCGGTAGTGGATTGCACCTTCTCCGCTTGGGAGACTGGGGACTGAGGAGGGCCTCAAACTCCATCGACCGCTTTAACGTAGCTCCACAAGCCATTATAGCTAAACAAAACGGAAAATAATAAGCAGGAAGAAAAACGACCCGCAAACGCTGGGCTTTAAACGCTCGTGCGTGTGTACGTTTAACGTTCCTCGGTTTTCTTCTTCGCCTTTCTTCCGCTTCACAACAACGGATTTTCTTCTCTCAGTAGTAAAGCAACTGCCGACCCTGCCTGCTGAATTTTTAAAACGTCACAAAGCCAGAGCCTACCATTACCGGAAATAGGGGGGTCTTCAAATATTTACAACGAATCTTTCTGTGTTTTTTCGCAGATTTGAAATGTAATTCTTATCCAGAATTGCTTTTGTAATGTCTTGATTAATTCTAACTAGATTAATTTGTCGTTTTCACTTTTTTAATACGGCGCTTCTAGGCTGCGTTTTCCGGCTGTCTTACCCTGTTGTTGATGTTGATGCCGTTCCCTTGAACTTAAATTCAAGGTTCACGAGACGTCTCGCCGTAGAGTTCAGGTAAATTAGGTATTTTAAAAACGGACCCCAAATTTTTTACCGACATATGGAAAAATTTTAGATTTAATATTTAGGTTAGGTTTAAATAGGTTTAATAATTAGGTTAAGTAACAGTTTAGATCATAAATTCTCTACAACTGAGCTTTATTGTCACACACACAGTATCTATCTATAAATTTAATCTGCTATGTCTTGCATTCAAACATTTGCGCATAGAGATAGTTTGCTATCTGATCTCTTAAAACACATCAGTGACCAAGCACAGACTCGGCAATAAGTAACCTGTCCATGATTGCATTAGTAACTTTGGCAAGACTGAAAGAAAAGGTTTACAAGATAATACTGAGGCCTGCTATGATATGTGGTTTGGAGATGATGGCACTAACAAAAAGACTGGAGGCCGAGCAGAGTTATGGTAAATGGCCTGTATTTATATAGCGCTTTACTAGTCCCTAAGGACCCCAAAGCGCTTTACATATCCAGTCATCCACCCATTCACACACACATTCACACAATGGTGATGGCAAGCTACATTGTAGCCACAGCCACCCTGGGGCGCACTGACAGAGGCGAGGCTGCCGGACAAAGGCGCCACCGGGCCCTCTGACCACCACCAGTAGGCTACGGGTGAAGTGTCTTGCCCAAGGACACAATGACCGAGACTGTCCAAGCCGGGGCTCGAACCGGCAACCTTCCGATTACAAGGTGAACTCTCAACTCTTGAGCCACAATCGCCCAGTTGAAGATACTAAGACTTTCAGTATTGGAAATAAGTTTAACAGAGGTATAACATTAGAGAGGCCAGGCTAAGATGGCTTGGATATGTGCAGAGAAGAGATACCGAATATGTATTGGAAAAGGCTGTTGAACATGGAGACAAAAAGAGGAAGACCACAGAGAAAGTTCTTGGATGTGGTAAAGGGTGAGATGGAGGCAGATGATGATGACGTAAATCTTTAAAAATGTATTAATTTCCTCCACTGTTGTATTCTTCATTTGTTTATTGTCAAGTTTCCAATCATTGTATTGCATTTTCCTCAACAATATAAGAATTTTATAAATACCACCTGATTGTATAACACTTTCCACCAAATCTTTATAAAATAGCTTTATTTGTTTATATATTGCAAGGCTATAACTTTAGACTAGTTTAAAATGAGTGTATACATATGATCATCCTTTACATTTAATTTTTGCTAATGATTAAAATTTTAATTTGATTAAATCGATGGCTCCCAACAGTTCCAGTTTTGCTTGGAGTGACAATAAAGCTCATCTTATATTATGTAAAAAGAAAATGACCAAGAAATAACCATTTTGTTTTTGCATTCTTTTTTGCAGTTCTCATTTTGTCTTTCCTTTACAGCTGTGTGTTTTCATGCTTCTCTACAACTCACTCCCTTAGAGGTGGGGGTAGGTTTACTTCAGCTTGAGGTAACATCAAAGGAAGGCAGACTTTGATTACCAAGAATTGTAAAACCGATTCAGCTCTTTATAAACGCTTTGGTTTCAGTTAGGCGAAGAATAACAGGCAATTTTTTTTCTCAGCGTTTCAGAAGTCAGATTATGACACGAAATAATCAATCCTAATACTTCCTGAAGTAACCGAGATTATAATTTTTACAGTAATTGTGTAGCCCTACTTTTTGCTGCTGTAGTGAGAAAAATTAAGCCACATACTCGTTCCGTTCACCACCTGCTGCTATTTCTTCTCCAATGCAGTCATGTGCTTTACTGCTAGCTAATTTCACAGATTGTCTTCTGTGGTAGAGAGCGTCCCTTTAGTCATCCTAAAGACAGATACAGAGATGGGCCCACTTTATCAGATTAAAGAAATGTACTTGTGTAATTTGCTTTAAAAAAGATACAAAGAGTCGAGACCAAGTGTTATTTTTAATAAGTTCACACAATGGATGAAATAGGTGTTCTAAAGTCTAAATCAACAAGCATCAGCTCTGATTATCTACCTCTGTTACGCTGTGTGTCACTGTGAGTGTAACTGCATATCAGTGTGCGCTCTACTGCAGCTGCCAGCTTTTACTATCGCAAAGACTGTTCTAGTGTCTGTGCTCGTTCTCTTCCTAACATCTGCTCCATTCACCTCTACACACTGCTTGGATTTGTGCAGTGAGCATTGTGTGAAATTCTGTGGGGTCCTGGCATTCATGTGCAGATTGGCGACCCACTGCTTCCTCTGTTCCTGCGTGCTCTGGGTCATACACTGAAAAATAAAGAATCATGCTAGCAACAAATGGCAAACCCAAAAGTCAGGAGTTCAGTTCACGGAACCAGGATTTCATGGAATGCTAAAGTAGTGAGAGGGGAAACATGGAGGTCAAAGGTAAATGACCTTTATATGTGCTTAAATATTAGTAACACATAGTAGCATACATTTGTACAAAACAATTTACTTAGTCTGATTGAGTGCAGAGGTATTTATTTCCATTTAAATCTTTTGGGTGCAGTTATTGCAAAATGCTGAAAAAAGCTCCGTGTGTCCTCTGTGTAACTATCATTTTCTATTTTAAGCATATTAACTGGTAATAACATTACGGATTAATGGTCAACAACATACTTTATAATCTCTTATAATTAAAGTAATGTGTAATGGTCACATTGTAATTCCCAAGGTTTGTGTTTTGTTTTGACATACTGTCATCATGTTTTGTTTACTTATTTACAAGCTTATTTGCAATTACAATTTAAAAAAAAAGCAGTAAGTGACATTTCCTTGTATAGACAGATTTTATCCTGATCGACAGTGATGGTGTTGATCACTAGCTAACAGCTGTCGTGAAAACAAGTGTTTCACGAACTGTATTGCTTCTCTTTTATTTTAACGTTCAGCTTCCTTCACTTTCTCATGGTCAGCTGGTGACTGTAGACCATTTCTGAAATGGAGTCAGGTCTGGTGGTTCTGGCCTTGGGCATCTCATCGTCAGATAAAGCAGTACAGTTGTCTTCTGCAGAGGGTAGTCCATGGCTTGAGTCTTCTGTGAGTTTTTTACACCTTCCCTTGCAACACAGCTTTTGCAGCATCCGCAAAAGAGCAATTCTTAGTTCTCGAAAGCGCAGGGCATACAGCAGTGGGTTGACTGAAGAGTTGACCAGACAGAGGGTGCTGCAGAAAGCAAAGGCCCGCTGTTGGTCTCGGGTCAGGACCACTGAGACATCTACTAGCATGAAAGAAAGCACAGGAACCCAACAGCCCACCAGTATGAGCAGAATCAGGCCAAAGGTGCGAGCCAACCGGATATCCATCCTCATGCGAGATTGAGCTTTTCCTGCTGCTCCCTGGAAGCTGGTCATTGAGCACTCATGGCGGTGGGCCTTCCACAGGATGAGAGCATAAGCCCCCAAAATCAGAACCAGAATCACAAGGACGAAGCTGGTCCAGAAGGCTTGATAGTGCTTATTGATGTATGGAAACAAGTTTGAGCAAGGTGGAGTAAGGCCTGTGGAACACCTCCAGCCCATTAGAGGTAAGAAGGAGAGGAAGATGATTGTACTCCAGAGAATCAGAAGGCTCAGCAGGGCTCTGCGCCGTGTCAGCAACACCTTGTAAGTCGAGGAGTGGTAGATGCAGATGTAGCGGTCCAGAGCAGTCAGCAGTAAACTTCCCACTGAACCAGAGAAGGCCATGGTGACACCACCTAGCTTGAAGAGGTAGGCGCCTGGGCCATCTTTGAGATGAAAGAGGTGAAAGTGTAAGAAACTTATGGTGAAGAAACAACTGGCAAAGACATCAGCCAGAGCAAGGCTGCCAATAAACAGATAGGATGGCCGCTTTCGCAAGGTGGCTGTGCTAGCAATCACCCCAAGCACAAGAACATTTTCCAGTAGTGTGACAGGGCCTGCCAGGAAACAGATGGTGCCGATGGCTTTCCGCTCTTCGTCACTCAGGACCATGTAGCACGTCAGATTCACACAGGACTTGTTAACTAGGAGAAAAACACAATCAGTACTGTGACAAGTCTTAGCTGACCAGTCAACTGTACATACAGATGTCCTGTTTTTTTTATATAACACAGAACTGAATTTTACCATTAATGGAAAGCTGCATAGCTATTGTTGATGAGATATTACCTGTGTGTCCATGTTCTACAGAAGTAGCTTTCTCCCCGTCCGTCATTCCAGCTACTATAATTAGGAAATGAAGTACAAAAAAAGCTGTAACAAATGTTACAAGTTATTTATGAAGCACAGATGTCTCTACAGAATCTGATCTTTCATTCACATCTTTATGTGTTAAGATTCCGTCACTTTGACGTATGTCACATTAGGTTGGACGGGACAGGTAACTTCCCGTGGTGAAACAAACAAACCAGAAAACGGGATTACTTTTTTATCTTGTTGTCAACATTGAAGCTGGAGCTTAAAGGGAACATAAACGTCTCTGAGTCAAGACAGAAAGTCATTTAGAGGCCAAAACAAACACACGATCATCACAGTTTCAGCTGATGATGTTACGGGAGAGATAGTCGCCTGGTAGAACATGGTTTCAAGCAAGCCATAAAACACTTTGATTTTTACTGAAGGCTGAATTGAGTTTAAAAATACACAGAGATCTATCCTTGTGCCTGTTATGTTAAAAAATAAGCCAATTTTTTATCATGATATGTTCAGTGTTATAGTGAAATTTCAGCTACTATATCTCTAAAACATTTAGCTTTCCCATTCATGTCAGGAACATATGCACATCACATAAATGTTTATCCCCTAGGGTGGATACTCTGCATTATAAAATTATGTAGTTTTTGTTAGCTGGTTTTTTTTGAAATATTTCCAGACTGCTGTTGCGCCGTCACTGTACAGGAGCTCCATGTTGGTGCCCTCTTGTGGAATCAGAGGAGACTGTATTTAGTCGTTTTATCAGCGGGTGAAGGTCACAGTTGAATTAAATGATCTCCAGTGAAGTGCGTCGCCTGTATGCAATCAATAGATTAAAGGGTTTGTGGAAAGCTGAGGCAAAAACATTACATTGAAGTAAATTATGCTGTTATAAATGAAAAGAACTGCCTTTAAATGTTTGCACAAAGTGGCTTAAGATTGAGGATTTCTTTGTTCTTTTTTTTTTTTTTTTGGCGGGGAACAGCATGACTGATGAAATACAGAGGGTTTAATCAAAATATTCCTGAAGCAATATATTTCTAGAGCAGCTGATAAACACTCAGAAATTATATAAATAAGATTAGGTGTGGCATTGTTCCAATTATACCACGCTATACTGTTTCCACTGTATCTGTGACACGGCCATGTGAAGACTATAAAAATTGCATATGTATGAGGCCAAAGGAAGCACGTATTGAGAAAGATCCTTATTGAGAGACATTTTATGAACATTGTGGTGACATGTGCAGCGTCGTGTGGCAATAACCCCTTGAGTCACTTTTGCGCCTTGACACATTGTTACAAAAGATCATGAACCCTTTGGGCAGAATTGGAATAAAAAAAAGAATAAAACTACTATTTGAAGTCACTCTTCTTTTATGCATTGCAGGAAACAGAGACTTTATTAAAATAAGTCAGAAACAGCAGGTCAACTCTCTACACATTAGATTAGAAATGTTGCAGAAAGCATATTTTTTTCTAACAATTTCACACTTGCAAAATGCCACTTAAACCAAATTGCTAAATCTCATATGTAAGAGAAAAATTTTAACTGTGTTAAATAAAGTTATAAGAGCTCACCTTCTCTTCTTTCTTGGCAAACTACTGAAATATCTGATTTCCTGCCTCTTAGCCGCAGAGCTGAAGCTGCATGACACGCAAACCAGCAGACGTGAGTACTGGTGTGCATGTGAAGGGAGAAGACAAGGAGGGTATAGCTGTGATGACATGAGGGGGCGGGAGCTGCTTAGACGACATCTGAGATAAAACAAAAACCAAGCCCACTTTTTGATCAATTATCCACTCTCTGTCACAAATTCCAATTTTCTTCTGTTTGTTTTTTTCCATAATATTTTCTTAAACAGAAATAGAGATTACCAGTAGATCATTCACAGATCAACCCTTTTGAATTTTGAAGTCTCTCATATATTTCAAGTATGCTTCATGAGGTTGGACTGTGGCGAAAAGCCAATAAGATTATTGAGTGTCAGATATCAAATGTTAAGTATAAAAAGCATGATCATAAAAAAAGAGGAAGTGGGCCATAATCACATTGGGTTTTGCAGCATATTTTGCAAGCGCCAACAGCTTCTTATGATGCCTAAATATCTCAATAAGAGAACTTTCGTTATTTCTAACGAACTACCTAAGGTCAAGATTGAACTGTCCTAGTCAATGTGAAGCCCTCTTTCAATTAGATTATTTCTATTTAAATAGCAATTGTTTTCCACCTCTTTTTGTTATTATCTTCTACTCATATTCATCTGACAAAACGGCATCTATCATAACAGAAATATGTGCGTATCCCTGTCCCTGCAGGATCACTTAGTTAATGCTTTACTCCAGGGGTAGGCAACTCCAGGCCTCGAGTGCCGGTGTCCTGGAGGTTTTAGATGTGTCCATGATCCATCACAGCTGATTTAAAGGGCTAAATGACGCCTCAGCATTTCTTGAAGCTCTCCAGAGGCCTGGTAATGAACTAATCATTTGATTCAGGTGTGTTGACCTAGGGTGGGATCTAAAACCTGCAGGACACCGGCACTCGAGGCCTGGCGTTGCCTACCCCTGCTTCACTCATTAATTCTATACTCATAAAACATTGCTTGAAGGATTAGAAGAACACCTTGTTGCAGTTTATAGAAGTAAAGGAATTGTAGATAATAAAAAGATGGCTTTAATTCCTTGGTTTTCTTGTTTGTCCTACAGTAGACTGCTGACTTGCCCAGGATGAACCTCGCCTTTTGCCCTATGAGAGCTGGGGTAGACCCCCCCCCCCCCCCCAACATGAGCCAGGAATTGGATAAGTGGAAGAAAACAGATGGTTACTACAGTATTGCGACAAACCCGTATAAAGATTTTTAGATGTAAAAGTTGGCATCCTGCATTTGGCTGGCACACATATTATGACAAATATGGTGCAAGAACACGGAACAGTTAAATGTGGATAGACATGAAACGTGTATTCTGCACTCACAAATAATCTTGTCACGATCCTGGGTCTTATGACCCAGTGTTTTGAGTTTTAGTTTATTTTGATGTTTATAGTATATTGTTAAGCTCATTAGTTTTTCTATTTCATTTGTTATTAGATTCCCCTTGTGTCTTCCAACCCCTGTTAAGTCTCCCTTGCCCTTCATGTGTTTCATGTCTGTGTCTTACGTTGTCAAGTGCAGGTTGTCATGTCTGCGTCTCATTATGTTTCCTGTTTTATTTTGCAGAGGTCCGATGTTCCTATGTTCAATGTTTTTAGTTTTGCTCTCCTCTTGTGATGTCCTTATGTTCATGTGTGTCAGCTGTTTCCCCATGTGTTTCCATTTCCCTCATTATCCTCCTGTGTGTATTTAGTCGGTGTGTTCTGGTCATTCTTTGTCAGGTCGTCTGTTGTTCACGCCATGTTCTTTACACCAGGTGTTTGTTTAGATTTCCCAGTTTAGATTTGTGTTAATTTTGCTTCAGTTTGCCTTGCTTTTTGTTTGTACCTTTTACCAGCCTCATTAAACAGCTCGCTTTTTGTTAACATTCAAGTTTTGTTCCCTGTTCCTTGGAGTCTGCATTTTGGGTCCTTCTTGTCAATTCATACAGTCTGCCCTCGCCAGACTGCGACAAATCTGTTAGGAAATAAAAGTTGATTATGTTCATCTGGGTGTGGTGTTTTCAGTGGTAGAAACGTTTCATAACTCATTTAAGTGACTTTTTCAGTCTTAGCTCACTCCAAGTTCCCCCAACTTTATAAACAATGCATCTGCACAATGACTGAAACTTAATGAACAATGGGCTATGAGGTCAGTTCCTTGATCATTAATATGCAAGTTCTCATGATCAAAGACCATTTACCGAAGGCCTCTACATTAAAAATGCTACTTTTGGGATTTCCTTACCTGGATGATTGAGCATTCATCAAAACCCGTACAACAGACAACTTTATAGTTTTTTCCTCTGTGTGTGTGTGTTGCAATTCAATAAATCTGACTACATGTTTGATTTTTGATCCTTATATTTCACCACCAAATTCATTCTAATGTGAGCCACTCTAGTTTGACAGGATTTCAAGTGTCCAGTTCAGCATTTTGAAATTGAACTAGTCAAATACTATCTGCATAGTGATAGCACTGACTCACTTGACCTGAAACCCTTTTATGTGAGTAGTCCACTCGCCCATTGTATTGTAGTACTGGTGGCAGTACATAGGGGGCAATACTAGGCAACCCTGATTCAGTAGGCAATATGACTGAGTCAGGAAACTGGCCAAAAGCATCAGACTAAAGGTGACAAGTTAAAAGTTTGTTTAAAGATTATTCATTAGAGATACAAACGCAACAAGCAGTCCACTCAGCAATGAGGTCATTTAATTTAGATTAAGTCCCATGTGGTAAAAATAGGCTGCATTAGTTTGACAACAATTTAATCAGATCTCTAAACCACATACCCGAGGCAATCTGAAATAAATTAGCAACCTATTTTAGCATTTAGAGAAAATCATGCGTCGGTAACTGGGTCTGACGAATTTAAGTAATATATCAAATTTCATGAAGGAAAGGAGTTAGTGTTCTACTACATGACTGTTTTAAAAGAAAAGGAAACAAAAAATGTCTCGCGGAAAGGCAGCGATATCTGGTGCACGGGCTGTGTCTTCTCCTACTTTGACCTGATAAAGTCAGCAGGACAGAAAGCAGGAAATGTGATTAGGAGCAGGCAGCACAGCTTCAATAAGATTTCTACTCGCTCACTGTCTGTCCAGGTGCAGCATAAACACGACAGACAACAGGGCAGACTAAAAGCTGAAATGTTCAATTATCTGTTGAACTGCATCATCCTGTTACACAATCCATTTTTAGAAATTGCCTTGGACACAAACATCAGGGCCAGCTCTGCTGCTTCAGACAGATTTGGATTAAATCCATTAATCAAATTTCCGCTCCTCATTTCCAGATTGCCAGACCCTCAGGGAGCAGTATCAGTTCACTGACATGAAGAACACAGGAAAAAATGATCAGGCAAAAAATCTAATTACTTGGATGCTTAATTCTTTAATCATGCTTAATTGTTTACTTTGTTTTTGTTAAATGAAAGGCTTGACTTCTAAATATGGAAATGAAACGCACCAAATGAAAATTGCAAAAGCACACAGATAAATCTAAATCTCTGACTCAAATAGCTTTCAATTACATCGTCATGGGAAACGGGGTGGAGTGGGTGGAGACGTGTGTCCAGGCGGGATTTGTGACAGAAGGATAGCAGCAGGATTGAAAAGCAAGGTTTACAAGATGGTAGTGAGACCTGCTGTGATGTATGGTTTGGAGACGATTTGAAGATGGAGGTGGCAGAGCTGAAGATGCTGAGACCTTCAGTGGGAGTGACCAGGATGGATGGGATTATTAATGAATTCATCAGAGGGACAGCGAAGTGGGTTGAAAATAGAGCTGCCAGGCAGGAGTAAAAAAGGAAGATTCACGGATATACGTAATGAAGGAGGACATGCAGAGAGTTACATTCAGGTTCATAATGTTTTGGACAATAATACAGTTTTGTAATTTTGCCACTGTTTGTGTCTGTGCCCCTGGAAATTGTGCATATCACCAATTGTTTCCTCTTAGTTGCAGCTTGTTTATGGGTCTCTCTGCCTTCATATTAGAAATTAAGGCAACTTATAGCATCTTTATAGTAACTGAGGAGCATGCGTCATTAGGTTCAAGATCACGTGACTAACTTGGCCATTCAAGATTGCCCAATTTCTTTATGTTCTTTATGTCTTTATGTACTCTTGGTTTGCTTTTGCAGAGTGTTTTGGGTCGTTATTCATTTGTACTGTGAAGCACATTTTGACTACTGTTACGTTTCGGTGTTGTCAGTGTTTTGCTTTTGCGTGACTGTCATGTGTTTCCTGTTTTACTTTGAAGGTCTGTTGTTATCTTAGTGTGTTCAGTTTACGTTTCCTTGTCTCGTCAGGTCTAATTTGCCCCAGCTGTGTTTCCCTCCTGTGGTCCATTCCCTGATTGCTCCTTCTATGTATTTAAGCCTTGTGTTTCAGTGTGTCATGGTCGCGATCTTCGCCGTGTTGTAAATAGTTTGGTGTTTTGTTGTAAATAGCCGTAAATGGGTTTTGTCACTACTTTCGTTTTGAGACACTTTCGTTTTGGGATTTTGGTGGAGAGCTTTAGCTTTTTTTCTCGTGTGCTTTTTTCTTATTTTTATTTTCATACGTTGCACGCCGGTTGCCTAGGCCGGGGTGTAACACTACTTTTGCAGCATTTGGTTGATCTGAGCAGAGTATAACCCTGTGCACCTCAGTCACATCAATAGTGGCCCAGTTCCACCGGTAGCCACACAGATCATGAGCTGTTCCTTTCTTTCACCATACTTTTATCTTGTCATCATTCTGATACAAGTTCATTTTAATCTTTTTTGTTCAAAACAATCTTTTTCACACCTGTATAAAAATGGCTGTACTTCTTAAAATACATCATAAATTAAAGATTAAACTGTGTTCTTCAATCACATTTTGACGGTTCGATTTGAAATTTACTGTGCTGGTGTACTGTGACAAAATTACAAAAAAAAAGTGCAACTGTCT